GACAGCCCGGCACCCAGCTCAGAGAGGTTTTATAGCTCGGAGCTCGCTGTTGTGCTCTGGCCTGCCTGTGACACTTCCAACATACAGCGACCACATGTCACTGTGGATCTCAGAGGGGGGGGATTAGGAAAGACATGTTTGTACAAGATGGATGATCCTTTTCTAAGATGGAGGTTGGAGCAAAATGGTTGAACCGCGTCCATCTCTGTGGGTACGATTGCTACAATCGCCACCATTACTAGTAAAAAAACGAATCCAGTATATATACCACCATTTGTAAATGCTATAACTTTCACATAAACTAATTAATTTACACATACTGGGATTTTTTTAGCAAAGACATGGAGCAGAATACATTGCGGCCTAAATTTATGATGAAATTTGATTGTTTTAAATTTTCTTAGTGGACATGTTTAATAGCAAAAAGTCAAAAATATAGTTATTTTTTCTCAAAATTGTTGGTTTTTTTTTTTTATAGCACAAAAAATAAAAAACACACAGGTAATCAAATACAACTGAAAGAAAGCTCAATTCATGGGAAAAAATTTCATTTGGGTGCAGCGTTGTATGACTGCACAATTGTCAGTTACAGTAACGCAGCACTGTAGTGCAAAAAATGGCCTGGTAATTTTTTTTTTTTTTTAACCTCCCTGGCGGTATGATTATTTCAGATTTTTGGTGCTGAAAGCGGTACCATTATTTTGCATGGAAATATGTAGTTTTTTTATTGTAGGCTGTCATTTTTAGGAATAACTCACTGAAATCTGTCCGAACAAGAGTCTATTAAACATCCCGGGTATGATAAAATTTGAAACATGAAATCATAAATTATAATTTAATAAATAATCATAAAAAAATAATAATATAATAATAATACATTTAATTCAATAATATAATCAAACCGAAAACACTGAAATTTGAAATAGAGCGCCAAGTTCGTATATTGCTGAGCAAAGTCGCAAAATCGTTTTCAGTGTCTGATGACGAATTTCCCCCACGAATCATTATCACTCAATTCTGCAAGTGGTTCTGATTTACTATCGCTGTTCTCTAGCTGGTCTAAAACCGCTTTTGACCTAAAGGGACATTTTTTGGACGCCATGGATTTTTCTAAGTTTCCAGGCAGAAAGACAGACAAAATGTAGGCAGGGCACAGGACGAAGCACTAGGGACAATATGTATGTGAAATGGGTTGAAACAGCAATGTTTTACTGTGAAAAATGTGTTTTGAAAAAAATGACATTTTTTAAAATTTTCAAATTTCCCGCCGCCGCCGCCGCCGCCGCCCGTACGTCCCGACGTCACGGGGACCGGAACACAGAAGCCGGATGCCGGCATCAGCCGGAGGAGATGGCCGGGGACGCTTCAGGGGACACATCGTGGGAGCGAAGGACAAGGTAAGTGCTGCAGGGACTCCCTATGCAGCGCCACATGGTAAGCCCGAGTGTAGCTCGGGGTTACCGCTTTTGGTACTAAAACTCTACCCCGAGCTACACTCGGGAATACCGCCAGGGAGGTTAAATTATAATTTTTGGTTATAAATTAATTTGGGGTTTTTTTTTACTAAAAAGATAACTGAATACATTTTGGACAAGATTTATGAAGAAAGATTACTTATTTGCAAAATTTTATAAGAAAAACACTTTTTCAAAATAGTTAAACTTTTTCATTTATATAGCAAAAAAAAAAATCCCAGTGGTGAATGTAAAAAATAAAGTTTTATCTGATAAAGTTTTATCTGTCTCAAAAAAATGCTAAAACATTAATATGGGTACAGTGTTGCATTTCTGCACAATTTTCATTCAAAGCGTGATAGCGCTGAAAGCTGAAAATTGGCCTGGACAGGAAGGGGGTAAAAGTGTCCAGACTTTAATTGGTTAACTAAGTTATTTGCCATAATGGCTGGAGGCACTGCGTTATAATTATATATGGGAGTTGGACACCGCCCAATTTATTTATAATTAAAATCAAAAGCACCACACTGTGAAAATGTGGAATAGACTCCCTCAAGAGTTGGTTCTGGCAAGCTTAGTGGATCACTTTAAAAAAGCTGTGGATTATTTCCTAGATACACAGAATATAACTGGATACTAACATTTATAGGTAAAGTGATCCAGGGAATTTTTTCCCAAGCAAATTGGATTGTGCTTTGCTGGGTTTTTTTTCCTTCCTCTGGATCAATTGCGGGTATGGGATTATAACTTTTTTTGGTTGAACTGGATGAACTTTTGTCTTTTTTCAGCCATACTAACTATGTAACTATGAACAAGCTGAATTCAGAAGCTGATAGGTGAAGATTTCTCCAGGATCCAGGAGCCTGCATAACATGGGACTTACTTATTTACAGATAAATAAGGTAGGGATAAAATACATTTTTAGCTAAACTTCAGCCTTAATGGAATCAGTCATATACATATGGCCTTGTTTTTTGCTCTCTGAAATGTGAGCCATGTTTAGACTACTATTAAGAAAGCATTTGACAGGAGGTCATGAGGCATTGTATCACCTTTTCAAATCCCCTAAAATCTGGACTATTACACCACACCTGTATGCATTGTGTGTGGTTGTGGGGTGCTTGCAACATGGCTCTGTTCACTTGAATGGGTCAGATTCAGTTAATGCTAGTGCCCACTGAGCACAAGAGGGGGTATAATTCATGCTGCAGTTGTGATTCTGTTCCTGTGTACACTCCAAGGCATTCAACCTAGCAAGGGAAGTTGAAGGAAGGTAAAAATGTGACCCAGCTGTAAGGTTTTACTGCCCCAACCACAAGTGTAAACACGCCTTAAATGTTGATATAACACCCTCCAGTGTGCATAGGGTTTTTGTACAGTTAGAGGTTTGCTCGAAGTCTGGGTATGAGTCAGCCTGGGAGTGAATCGGCAAGGTTACCTGAGGTTAATGCTGAAGGGCTCTACAGGTCAGTTCTCTGATACTTCTCCCTGCTCTAGAAACTTGAAGAAGTTTCTAGAAGCCAGTAGGTGGGGTGAGGAAGGGCTAATCTGCATACTTAGGGGAATCTGGTCAATCCCCAGGCAGGAAGCCTGGCATGGTGGCTATGTCAGCCCTTAAATTTGAGGGAGCCTGGTCAACAGGGGAGTCTGGTGGAAAATGGTGTCAGAAAATGCTGCTGGTGTGGAGCCTGGGAGGGGCCCCCAGAGAAGAGCAGGTCAGCTTACAGGTTGGAAGCTGGAAAGAATGACCTCCACTATCCCACAGTCTATTGGGGAAAGAAAGCCTGTCAGTAGGGAAGGAGCCAGCCCAGCATAAGGCCTGAAAGCAGCTTCAACCTTTAAAGCTACAGGAACAGGACACTGTGAATATGCCCCCTGGGCCAAAGAATGAAGAGGGCGGTCAGGTGAAATACCCAACTAATTCTCCCTGGGACTGCATTATTTGTGCATCTAGGAATCTCTTGTCCTGGGATGCTCACAAGACAGCCAGGTGAATGAGGAAATTTCCATCTAGGGTCTGAGGAAGTTAATTTAAGGGGACAAAGTGCTCCTTGCAAAGACTGTGGGCACAATTCACTAAAGCTTATAGCATGAGTTAAGTCAGTCACGTGACCACATATCGCTTGCAATGCTGAAAATGTCAATTCATTATTGCTAGTATGCTGTATTTACCGAAAATAGCAAAAACACTCAATAAATGCCGCATAAAAGGACCTTAAAGTCAATTCACAAAAGGAAATAAATAATTAAATGCATGCGGTAATTAAGTAGTGGTCGAGGCATGCGGTTTGTATTGCTATCTGTCAGTACTGTCATGAGTTGTTAAGTCCTTAACAACCTGAGTCATCAGCTGTCAGTGGGGTTCCCCGCTGACAGCTGAATGTAAAAAAAAAAAATGTCAGCAATTAAAAAATCATTTAAAATATGGCATGTGGTCCCCCCTCCATCCATACCAAGCCCTTGGGTCTGGCATGGGTTTTAAGGGGAACCATCATGCCAAAATTTAAATGGCATGGAGTCCCCCCAAAATCCATACCAGCACCCCCCTTCCTGAACCATACCAGGCCACATGCCCTCAACATAGGGGGGCTGCTTTGGGGGGCTGGGATCCTTGTACCCCATACTCATTCACATAGAGGGGCCAGAATCTGGGTGCCCCCATGCTACAGGGGGCTTCTATATTCAAATAAGACCCCCCACAACCACCGGGACAGGGTTGTGGGGAAGAGGTATGGATTTGGGGGGGACCCCAAGCCTTTTTATTTTAAATTTTGGTGTAGGGTTTCCCCTAAAAATCCATACCAGACTTTAAGGGTTTGGTATGGATGGAGGGGGGACCACACTTTTTTTTTAATTATTTTTTTAATTGCCAGCAATTCTTTCTTTTGCATTCAGCTGTCAGTGGGGAACCTAACTGACAGCTGAAACGTTGACACATGGTTTACACTACTAAAATACCACATGACTTGATTAAATAACTTATTGGGTATTTTAGTAGTTTTTTTTAGTGAATTCAATTTTTTTTTTTAAATGCTGTGCAGTATCTTACCACATACTCAAATGCAGTAAGATACCGCTTAGTGAATTGTGTCCTGTGTGTCGATTGTTCAGAAGATAAGAGCCACTCCTGAAGGCATAGAGAGCCTTGGATCTGTTCCAAGAAGTTGTCCTCCAAGTTGTTTCAGTTCCACTGGGCATCCCAAATACCTCTAGACCCCATCCAAGTTGTTAACCCCTAATAAAACAACAAAAAACAATCTCATGTACTATTTACTGACTGTGGATGCAAGTGTGGAAAATGTGTGTTGCCTGGCTGTGCAGAGCCTAGGGCAGTGATGGCGAACCTTTTTGAGCCCGAGTGCCCAAACTGCAACCCAAAACCAACTTATTTCTTTCAAAGTGCCAACACTGCAATGAAACCTGAATATCGAGCTTTTGGTTTAGAAAAAACAACTCGTACAGTAGTGCAAACTAATTAACAGTACAGGGATGACCAGAGACTGCGGACAGTACAGGGATGACCAGAGACTGCGGACACAGTACAGGGATGACCAGAGACTGCAGACACAGTACAGGGATGACCAGAGACTGCAGACACAGTACAGGGATGACCAGAGACTGCGGACACAGTACAGGGATGACCAAAGACTGCAGACACAGTACAGGAGATGACCAGAGACTGCGGACATAGTACAGGAGATGACCAGAGACTGCAGACACGGTACAGGGATGACCAGAGACTGCAGACACAGTACAGGGATGACCAGAGACTGCAGACATAGTACAGGGGATGACCAGAGACTGCAGACACAGTACAGGGATGACCAGAGACTGCAGACACAGTACAGGGATGACCAGAGACTGCAGACATAGTACAGGGGATGACCAGAGACTGCAGACACAGTACAGGGATGACCAGAGACTGCAGACACAGTACAGGGATGACCAGAGACTGCAGACACAGTACAGGGATGACCAGAGACTGCGGACACAGTACAGGGATGACCAGAGACTGCGGACACAGTACAGGGATGACCAGAGACTGCAGACACAGTACAGGAGATGACCAGAGACTGCGGACACAGTACAGGAGATGACCAGAGACTGCAGACACAGTACAGGAGATGACCAGAGACTGCGGACAGTACAGGGGATGACCAGAGACTGCGGACAGCACAGGGATGACCAGAGACTGCGGACAGTACAGGGATGACCAGAGACTGCGGACAGTACAGGGATGACCAGAGACTGCGGACAGTACAGGAGATGACCAGAGACTGCGGAAAGCACAGGGATGACCAGAGACTGCGGACAGTACAGATGACTGCTGACCTTTGGGGAGGGAGGGGGAGCGGGTACCTGAATTTGACAGGTACCCGCTCTTACTTCCGCAGAGTTTTTTTTTATCTTACCTGTTCCTTTATCCAGCCGCGCGCTGTCTTCCCGGCTTCTGTAGTGTGGGCGCTCGTCGGACAGCTGGATGCCCAGTGCGCATGCGCGAGAAGCGCTGCGCTTTGTGATTGGTCCGGCGGCTTCTGGGATCTGTCATGTGTCCCAGGTACCGCCTTACCATTCACAAAGAGCACTGCTTCTTGCGCATGCGCACTTGGGACCCGGCTGTCACGCACACTACAGAAGCCGGGAAGACAGCGCGCCGCTGGATAGAGGGACAGGTACGGTCCCACTGCAGAGCTGAGCGGCCGGCCCGGTATTCTGACACGGCGGCGGTGGAAATACCGGACCGGCCGCTCTATATTCGCTCCATAAGACGCACTGACATTTTCCCCCCTTTTTTTGGGGAAAAAAAGTGCGTCTTATGGAGCGAAAAATACGGTATTCTCCTGGCGTGCCCACAGATAAGGCTCGGGGTTCGCCATCACTGGCCTAGGGGGACCCAAAAACCCAGACGGTAGTACTACATTAAGACAAATTTTAATTTTATCCTTCGAATTTCTTTCCCCTATTGTGCCTTATCTTTTACTATTATTTATCTACCCTCAATATTTTTATTTCTGGCATTAAATCTCAGTTCCAATGTTGCTATGGACTGCAATGGTGTCACTACCAAAAAATCGCAGTGATTTCTATTTAGGCTAAGCCAGATCATGTGGTTTTAAATGAAAACATTATACTTTCCTATGTCATGCTCTGAAAGCTGGCCATATATGGATTGAAATTTGACAGTTCAGCAGGGATTGGCAGAATTTCTATCCATGGATGGCCATTACTGCTCAAGAGATGTCTATCTGAAGATCGACTTCTGTTCAATGTTGTCAAAATACTAGCAGGGAGGTTTCCTATGTCCACCTCAATTATGTGGGTACAGCGGACTAGGTTTTTTTTTTTCAGCTCACTGATCATATGTCATTTGTGGCCAGCCTTAGTGTTTTGCAAAGAAATTCTCCCATTAAGCCACATGTTACTTGTTTTGCTGCAGCTTTTGAAATTTGTAGAAGATACGGTAATGGTACTCTCAGAATTTATTTGTATAGGTAAAGATTTCTTGGAGTTTCTTTACTAATCTATAACTTTGTTCCACTGCCTTAACTTGAAGTTTTTAGCCCAAAGCTGTAATGATTGTTTGTGCCCAGCACCATTCATCACCTGAATTTCCATAATTGCTAATTGCTGGTATCACTCATGGAAAGTCGACAAATGTTTCAGATTAAACTTGATTTATTATTCTACCATACATGTCTAATTTACAGCTACATCCAGTAGCCAGTTAGAAGCTTAAAAGATAAGCTACACAATTTCTTGTCTTTTATATGACTTTGTAGAAAGATACTTGGAAATGCATAACATATAATACATTCCAGATGAATATTGTTCAATGCAACAGAAAAATAGCAATTTGTTAAGGAATATAATTAACCTACTGAGATGAAAAGAAAATCATATTAATAATAATGTACTACACTGAAAACATATTTTCACTTGTCTAATCTTCAGTTGTCAATATGAACAGTGAGGTGGGTCTCTAGCCTGATATGTTGGCGTTGTTCACAAATTATCTTCCTGTTCAATAGTTAATAAAACCAACAGGAAAACTATTGGACATGTTGAAAATGTGAATAAAAGTCACTGTTATTCAGGGCAGTTCCAATCATGGGGGAATGGATAAATCTTAAAGCAATTCTCAAAAAGTATAATTAGCGCACCACTGAGCATGCTAATTATACCCTTGAATCTTGAGATATCAGGCATTAACTCTGGTTATAAAACACCTCTTTAAACTTTATATGCAACTAATATTTTCACTCATGGTGCATGGTAAATATATTTACACATTAAACATATATTTTAAAGGGCAGCTTTGGGCTTCAAACTCTTCCATCCATTGTTCCTTCATGCCCCCCTGAAGGTGCAACAGGCTGAAATTTTTTTTCATATTTACCTGTTCTACTACTGAACACCAAATGCAGGGGGCCCTGATAATCCCCCTTCAGGGTGCCATGAACCCGTGCATTCACAGAACCATAGGCTGAGTAAAGCTCATTCATCCTAGAAGACTGAGGATGTCTTGTAGCAGAAAAGAAGTACTACTAGGTGGGGCAGCTCCAGATTGAAGGTGGGCATTGCAGCAAAAGCTGCTGTTTAATGTTTTGATGGGTCAGTATTTTTTAAAAAATTCTGCTGTACCCAAATTCTGCTGTACCCAAATTGCTCTGGCTACAAACTCACATATATCTGTGAAAGTTTACAAGAATAACAAAGAATGTTTAGGTAGGTTCTCATTCTAAGTGCCCAATTACTAAAAGCAAATCTACTTTATAGCAATTTTAGTGTTAGGGTAATATATGGAAACCTACCCAATTTCTTTTTTAGTTTTGGATAGAGTGAGGTAGGGTTTGAAAGCCTTTCACAATACCGTGCTGCTGCTATCACTGCTAAACTGTTAAATTCCCATATGTGTCTCTAAAGAGTGCACAAAAGAGAAATGAAGCAGGAAATTCAGTTCACAGCCAAATCCTGTATATCATTATACAACAGAAAGTCAGGAAAATTCTCTCTACATTGGGCCACAAAAATGCCACTTTAATATAACTTATTCCAAATATGATTTCCTTGCATTGTTTACACACAGGTTGTTTACATATAGGTTGATGCCCTGTCTTCTTTGTACTACTTTCTTTTTGTAAAATACCTTGGGATCGTTCCAGTCCCCCTTCCTATTTCAAACAGACCATGCCGTGGCATAGAAGCACATCTATCTCAGGTTTCTTCTCTGCATTGTAATGAGGAGCACAGCCTGCCTGTACTTCAATGGTCAGACTTGTGCTGACACACCTCCCTGCTCAGCTAATCACTGGGAGGACAAGTGTACTGCTGTTCCTCTACCTTCTGCTGACATACCCCCCCCCCTCCCCTGTAGTCCCTACACCCACCTCTCTAAGCCTCTTGTGCAGCTTAGAACAAAAGTTATGTGATTACTTATAAGAAAAAGAAAAAAATATTGATAGGCTATATTTAGAGATTTATGGTTTCATCATTAGAAAACATAGAAAGGATTTTCTGCTTTTACCAGTGCCTTTTGTATCACATTGTACTGGTATTTTTGTTCTAATTCAAATGCACTTTTAAAAAATCACAGCAATTGTAAATTAATAAAACTTATATATAATGTTGTCAGAACTTTCAGTTCAAAAGAAAAAAAAAATCTATTGCATTTGTGAAAAAAAAAACAGTTTTGTTGCATTTCCCTGAAAATGCTAGCTGCTTGGTTGTCAAACCTCTGGCTTCATTACAGATTAGAGATTCTGATTTACATGCTGCATATTTGTTCTTAGGTACTGAAGTAAGAAACAACCAGCAATCCAGTACTGAAGTAAAAGACAGCCAGCAATCCAGGGATCAGACAGGGGATCCTATGTCAGTCCTGTGGGGTCCCCCCTTTGATGGAATTATCACCTGATCTATGGTCTAACTGATTGGATTTCTTCATGCATGTAACCTTTGTTATTGTATTTATGATACTGTATTGAAATCTGGAAATTAGTTTATTGATGTAATTCTAGATTAGATATTTTAAACATGCTTCTTATATCTCCTAATGAAACAGGTCTATGATCTGGGAAATGCATTGAGAATTCTACTTGTTCCACTGCAAGAATCAACATCAACTGAATGGAAATACATGATATTGTATTGCATTGGGAAGCATGCAGTGTATACTTGAGGGTTTTCATAGAGGCATTAATATGAAAATATAGTAGTGTCTTATTACATTATATAGCATGAATATATTTTCTGTTTTTATGCAATTTTATTTTTGTGAATAATGATGCATTTTGATTAAACTCTTTCTTATTGATATGTACAGGTGACACCAAAAAGTCCTATTTGTAAATTGAATTGTTGCCTACTTCCTAAGGGTTTAATCACATGGGCACAAGGATCCATACATAAAAAGGAGAGAAACAGTGCCATCTAAGTGCAGCAATAAAAACTCATTATTTATTTCCACAAAATTGGCAACTCACAATAGTAGTAGTCATATAAGCACTTGTCAAACTGTGTCAAATGCTGTGCAACTCCTAGCCGGTCCCACTGCAGGCAGGTCTCTAATGCACTGTCCTTGGCTGTGCTGGTGGTTCCCAATATTTCCTGGTCAGTGTGGATCCACAGGGCAGGCGGGAGTGATGTCAGCTCTAGGTACAGCAGCAGTAGGCATGGCACGCATTCGGAGCATGCATGCTCCTTCATCAGGCCATAGAGACGGCATATATTGGTAAATGATAGTGGCATGATAGTGGCAATGATCCATATGCATGTTTAGATGGCAAAGTCTATCCACTCCAGAGGCACAGGTGGTCTGTATGCAGCCAGCCTTTTAAAATCAATGACAGGCTAACAGCTAATTGGATCTTAACTGATCTTCATGCACATCCCTGTGTGTTATTTGTGTGGGGCCAATGTATTATTTTGAATGCAGTGTGTCTGAGTTCAGTGTTGTGCTCAGTATTGCACGGATGTACATACAGGGATGTAGCTGGAAACCAATGAATATACATGCAGCCATCAGCCTGTCATTGATTTTATCAGTCTCTACAAATACACACAGCCCTCTGCATGGGTGTATGGATCCTAGTGCCTATGTGAATAAGCTCATAAAGTGAAACTGAAGTTAAAAAAAAAAAATTCCAAATTTCAAACAGGCAGGCTCTTCATTGC